CTTTGATGTCCCGCATTCATGGTTCTGTTGATTTTGAGATGTTGTCTGCATTCTTCAAAAGTCATCGAGTGGTTATGTCTATCCTCGAAAGATCTGACCACATACCCACTGAGCCCATCTACACGCAGCACTATCCTCGCAACACAACCCACGCGGTTGGATACTCGTCTCCTTCTTATGTGTCCATCGGGTGGGTTTGAATGGTCAACATGTGCATTGCGTTTATAACCCTCTCGTGAGCATACCAGATACTTCCAAAGTATAGTCTTATTATCACGTGATTTGATCAACGTGCTCTGTCGTACATCAAAACCAACAGCATACGCATACGCCTTATAGAAGATTACTGCATCATCCAGCGTTTGGAACTTTTGCCCTTTATAAGGTTTAAGGGGATCATCACAATGTGGTGTCCAATATCTAGTTCCACCAGGAGTGATTGATATCTGCTGACGACCCGTATATGTTGACGGTGTCCCTGTGGTTGCATTCAATATGTTCATAATATTGCACAATGTATATAAAGTAATGCACATCATATGTATGGAGAGTGAACATTATATAATTAATATAAGAAGAGGAATATATCAGGTGAAAAAAAAAATATATAAACACAGTATGTCAAACACATAAGTTAGATGTCAAACAATCAAACACATATAGAAATCTAACAGAATATATATGTCTAACACAAACACGTATAGAGGTCAGACACAGCAGGGGTATACAATAGTTTTATTGTTTGTGCACAACACTGTATTAATTGCATAACAATGTCCGGAGTCTTGCACGAATCATCGAATATACTGCACAGTACACGTACTATGACTCGTTGATTATATGTGCAGTATACAAGACAGACATTGGTCCATACCTGTCTGAGCAACATTCGATTCTATCATCTTGTGCGGTGCAATCGTATGAAATCAGTTCGGCGTATGTTCTATAAGGTGCCTGAAATTTTCGATTTGTAAAAAAAAAAAGATGAACGGAACAAATCGCGTCATATATTCACAAATCGAAAGGTCTTAAACGCGACGTATAGGTTGAATTGAAGCCATTAATTCGTATAACGTACATACCTCAATTTCGAATTTTGCCCAAGTGAGGTTGATCACGATGCGGACGCGAATTCATAAGTTTTTGGATTTCAATTTTAAGCTTCGATTTTTGGGAGTTCGATTTCGAGATGCGAAATTTAGGATTTTGTCGTCAAGCTTGGAGGATGGGAGTCGGATTTTGAGCTTCGAGCTTTATCGAGTTTTAAGATTGGGATTTGACGTCGAACTGGAGCTGGAAGAATGGTGTGTGATTTGGGATTTAATATCGAGCTTGAGGATGTTGTGTATAATTCAATTACCAGTCTGCCCCTCTAGTTACGTGAAATAGTGTTGTTGCTGACCGCGAGATGATATCAATCTTGTGGTCACAATTTATTCTTATTTCTTTCCTGGGGAACCATTCTCACCGGAGCGTGACCCTATATATATATATATATATATATATATATATATATATCAATATCAACCTCATTCAATTATGGCTTAAAGCTACAAAAATATTCATGACAATATTCTATGCATTCGCATGTAAAATATTTAGATCCTACTCGAGTTTGCACAAACTATGAATTCATATTCAATGTTGTGAACTATCTCGAGAGAATTAGTGTATCTAGTAATTGAGTAAGATGGAGTTTTAATCCATTTCCTTGTTGACACATATTTCATATTTTTCTGTATGAATCAATTATAGATTCACCAACTTTAGTGTTAAGAATACCAAATCCTAATTTATTATTTCATAAAATTAGAATAATCCAACAAATAAGAAGAATTTATTTATTCTTCGTCAAACGATAGACACCTCGTGTGAGTACCCCGGCTCGGTCACTAGAGTACTTGGACTCATCCTACCTAACCCCTGAAACGGATTAATGTCACTTTTTTCATGTCCTCGTAAATTGAAAGTAGGTATTACAATCGATACAACCAAAAGTTTGATTATTATTTCAATATTTCATTTCATTGTCTACTGAGATAAGACAAATAATTTGAAAAAAAAAAAAAAAGAGTTGCCAGTTCCCGCCAATCCCTTACTGACGGCACTCTTATCATATATAAACAGAACTGACCAAGATCTCGTTTTCTTACTTACTTTATTCTCCCATCTTCCTTAACTAAACAAAAGTACATTGGTACGGAAAAATGCCAAAAAAAACAACAAATCTTATCCTTTTTGTTTCTCTCATATTGTACTTGGGGATTTTGATGATGACAGACAGGACAAAAAACATCTTTGATGGTTTATTTATAACAGCAAGCTCACGTGGCAAGAGCCCTGTGGATAATGAGAAAAAAGGCTGGCAAAATCCAACTAAAGTGAATATATACACACTCTGTGACCTTTTCAAGCCCAAATAAGTCAAAACAACGTGAAATGAAAAATTAATGTACTTTTGGTTGGAGAAAGAATAAAGGTTCTTTTTTTTT